TTTTATTTATTTTTTATTTTTTATTTAATTAATTAATTTATTTATTTTTATTTATTTATTTTTTTAATTTTTTTTTATAGAGGCATGTTTTATTTATTTATTTGTTTGTTTGTTTGTTTTGTTTATACATGCACTGGGTACAGTCAGAAGCGCGGAAGGGTGAGAGAATTCACCAGAGCCAGAGCGGGGAGCAGAGCAGGCAGAAGGACCGAAGTACACTGCTGAGGGGAGCAGCGGGCGGCAGGAGAGGTCTGCGCGCCATGTGGGACCCTACTCCCGTGGCCGGGGAGCAGCCGGAGATCGAACCCCCGCTGCAGAGGCCGCGGGCAGCTTCACAACCCAGGGCTCAACCGCTGTGCCACGGGGGAGGCCCCAATTCTTCCTCTTTTTTGTCAGGATCACTTTTTCTATTCAGGGTCTTTTGTGGCTTCATGTAAATTTCAACAGTGTTTGTTCTATTTCTCTGAAGAGTGTGACTGAAACTTTTATAGAGATTGCATTAAATCTATATAATGTTTTAGGTAGCATGTCCATTGACAGTGTTAATTCTGCCCATTCATGATTGGAAGGAAATTATCTTGCTATTCCATTGAGTCTTCTTCTATTTCTTTTAACAATCTCTTATAGTTTTCTTTGTATAAGTTCTTCATCTCTTTTGTTAAGTTTATTCCTCATTTTGTGACATTACCAGCTATAGGTGGTCAATATTGCCAATCCTTACTTGGATATCATCTTAGTCATTTTGATTGCCTGAAGCTCATTCACTAACACATAACTTAGGAAAGACCCATGATGAAACTGAGTTCATGCAAGTTGATAACAATCTCTGCCCCTTATATCAAAAAGTCAGATTTGTTTTATATACAATCTTTGGCTCACATTTTCTTCCTTTAAACATCTTAAATAAGTGATTCCTACTTATTTTAGCATAAAGCATTATGTTAGAAAAAATTGGTGGCAACTTCATTTGTCCTATCTTATAAATCACTTGCTATTTATGCCTAGATGTCCAAAAGATTTAATTTATATGACTTATTTCCATTTTCTAAACAATGGGAAGATAATCTCTAACTAAAACTTCCATATTGTTAATCTCTAAATTATTTAGCAATGATTGGGATCCATTAGTCATTGAAACCTAAAAATAATTCTCAGAACACCCTTTGTTTCTTGACCTGGGAAAAGCATTCAATAGAACTTTTACTTCTTAGTAGTCACAGGCAGTCAGTAAATGAAGGCTGTGTTTATTTATCATGGAAGAACAACTAGGAAAGAACCTGGGAAATCAGGGTGCAATAATTATCAAAACTTTTCAAGTACTGGGCCTCCCTGGTGGTGCAAGGGGTTAAGATGCAACCTATGAAGCAATGCACAGTCACTGCAGCATGAGTATGATCCCTGGCCAGGGAGCAACCCACATGGCGCAGCAGACGTCTCCTGACTTGCGCACTGCTCCCCTCAGAAGAGTATTTCAGTCAATCTGCCTGTTCTGTTCCCCACTCTGTCTCTGGTGAATCCTCTCACCCCCCACAACTCTGGCCTGTTCTTCAGTTCTTGTATGCATGAACAAATAAATCTTTTAAAAAAAAAAAAACTTTTCAAGTATTTGTATATTGGTTTAATTAGATTAGGTGGTACTCACTCCCAGAACAAATATTGTTATTAGGATTAGCAGCTATAAAACTAATTGTTGATGCTATTATAAATCTATTTTATGCCCTGAGTTCGATGCCTGACCAGGGAGCTAACCCACATATGGTGCAGCAAGCCTCTCCTTTCTTACCAGCTGCTCCCCTTAGCAGTATATTTCAGTAACTCTGCCTGTTTTACTCCCCACTTTGTCTTTCTGTCTCTGGTGAATCCTCTCACCCCCCTGTACCTCTGGCCTGTACCCCAGTTCTTCCACAATAAACAAACAAACAAACAAACAAATAAATAAATAAATAAATAGATTTTGATGTTTTATAGGTATCTAGAAAATGAACAAAGCATAATGGACACAGAATGAAGAAGCTTTTTTATTCTCCTTAACTACTAATTTCTCTCCAACTAATCAATTGGTTAACTGGTGTCCATCTTTTTTGATTCTCCTATTTCCCTTCCTTCCTAATCAAGTATCGTATAAAGAGCACATGGTTATTACATTCATGCAATACCTGTGTGCTTTAATGTTCTGAGATGTTATATGTTAATATAGAGGTCAGGCTTTGACAGGAAAATATTTGGCAAATTCAAAAGAGATGATTAGGGCGTCCCCTGGTGGCACAGTGATTGAGTGCTGGGCTGAGAGACTGCCTGCAGCCTCTGCAGAGCCGGTTCAATCCCCGGCCACCAGCGAGGGTCCCTCATGGTGTACAGATCTCTTCTGATGCCCGCTGCTCCCCTCAGCAGTGTACTTCGGTCCTTCTGCCTGTTCTGTTCCCTGCTCTGGCTCTGGTGAATTTTCTCACCCTCCCGCGCTTCTGACTGTACCCAGTGCTTGTATAAATAAATAAATAAATCTTAAAAAAATAAATAAATAAACTTCTCTTTAAAAAAAGAGATGATTAAACAGAATGGAAGCACTATTTACAAAAATATGGGTAGGATTATGGAAACCAACATGGGAGAAAGGTGAAGCATTCCTTAGCTAGTAACAGTGGGAACTCATTCACACCATTAGACAGTTCCTAGAACAGGGAGTGCTGCCAGCACCTGGAAAGAGTGCTGTAGCTGATGGAATAAGAAGCCAGCCAAACCGAAGGAATGTAACCACATCCAACCCCAGCCAGGAGAAAGATGACAGGGAAAAATTCTCTAAATACTCTCTCCCAGGCCTCTGATCTCTTATCAGCTAAAACAAATCCAAAGTCAAAAGAACCAGGTTAATGATCACAGAGGACCCTGTCCAGGAGTACAGATAAGGGTGGAGAAGAATGATGATAGCAAAGATAGGATAGTCATTTTGTATGGTACTAATTTTATTGCAATTAATTGAAAACTTTGGGCAATATAAGAATATACTACACAATAAATAATACTTAGAAAATCATATATACTTACATTTGCTGAATAAATAAAACTTAAACTGACCTGTCACCACTACACTAAAGTTAGGTGCTAAGGCCAAGTCTAGAATAGATTCTTAAGTTCCTGCAGTTGAGGCAATCTCTACTACAGTAAGCTCTTTATTAAAGAGAGCTGGATATGTACATAGATGCTTGATGGATAGACAGATGCACAGATAACTCAATTTTGTAAACATGAAGAAGCCTGAATGTAATCTAAGCCAATCCCTTCAATGTGCAGATAAACAAATGGAGTTCCAAATTGGTTAAAAACACAATAATAGATAATTAGAATACAAATCACACAACTCTAGTCTCTTTTAACTTTAATATGCTATCTCTCATTTTCCTTTAAATTTTGTTCCATTCAAAGCAAAATCAAGTACTGTGAACAAAAATAAAGATCATGGATCATCTCACAAAACATGATCCATGATTTATGAAACATGTTTTTGCCACGGTAGCCATGCTACTAAAACTTTTCTTATGAAATTACATATCAAGGTCAAACAACTTCTATGTTGATGACCAATTCCATTAGTTCGATTTTACTGTACTGAGGCCTTTTTTTTTTTCCTATTTTTGTTTGTCTCTAAGTGAACAGTTAACTTTCATCCACATAAAGAATTTGAAAATATCAGTCCCCAGAGCTATTCATTACTGAATACAAAAATATATGCAGTTGCCTTACTGTGATTATTCAAATAAATTTTCATTTCATTTTCCAGAAAATTACAATAAGAAAGCCTAACCAATAAAATTTTCAAAAGTAAATTTACCATTCCTCCAAATATAATCACCATTTTCCAGTTTGGAGACCTTCAAAGTTCTGATAATGAAAGAGAAGTATTAATTTCTCACTCCTAATCAACATTTATGATTTAGTTCCTAACTCACATGAAAAACACTGCTTTAAAAAGCCGAACTATTCTTAATTACACTCAAGCTCATCGTGCTTTTATTTGGTCTCCTAGATTATTTTATTCTATCAAGATGCTTATTGTGTATGCTTCACTCTTGTTTATCTAAACACTCAAAAATTTAGATAAAAACACTACTTAGCAACATTAGTTTTTCCTCTTCATTTCAGTAACTTGGATGCAAGGCCTAATATTCACTTTCACAACTTTTAACATATCTGTATACAACATCAAATCTTATTTTTCAAGTCTGTTGGAAATATAGTCTGGATTTTTTAGCAGAACATTCTAGAAAGATGAAATTATGTGTCAAGGTCAAACAACTTCTGTGTTGACAACTAATCCCATTAGTTGTTAAATGCTGTACTGAGTTTTTTTTTTTCTATTTCTACTACCAAAATTAGCTGTGATCATTGCCTCGATAAACATAAGTCAGAACATGCATCAGGAAGTCTGAAATATGCCTGCACAATGACTGGTACCGGTTCCCATAATTAAAGGGCTTTCTGAATCAAAAAGCTCGGTGTGGAAGTTTATGGACCTATATGCCCAACATAATAACACATACACCAGGTTGGTGTTGTTGACACTCGCCCTAGAAATATACTGTCTTGCGTTCTTTAACACAGACTGGCAAAGGAAAGAGAAACAGATGTCAGACATGAATTACAGACAGCAGGAGTCTTAGGAATCCAAATACCCTTCTCACAGGACTCTGGAAGGGGCGTGGGTCGGGAGGAGCAAATGAGACGGAGAGAGAGAAACTCACGACTCCCCAGCGTACGTGAAAGCACGCGCACGTTTCTGCCCTGGTTGACACGAGAACCTTAAATTCTATTGCGAATAAGGCAGGCCGGGGCGAGGGGACCCCACGACTCACCTCAGCTAGCTTTGGCGCGTCTGTGGGGAAACCCGGGGACCCGATGCGGCGAGTTCTGCCGCTAGGGGGCGCACACCCCAAGGCGAGAAGATGGGGCTCCGGAGAAACGCAGGGCGCGGAAGGAGGTGACCCCTGCGGCGCTGCTGCCCTTACCTCCAGGTAATACAAGTCTACCGTAGTGATCTGCGAGTCGAGGAAGTCTTCATAGGTGTTGAACTGAGTGACTATATTGTCCACAGCCGGCAAGCCGTCTTGCATATCCATTGCGGTTGCCCCGGCCGAAGCGTCCCTAGCGACAGACGCACGAGGGCAGGAGGTTCCACCCACAGCGTTCCTTCCAATCAGTTGGGAACCGGCGTTGAGCTCGGGACGTTAATCCCGCCCCCAGGGCTGGTTCCAGGGTTTCAAGCTTCCTCCTAACTCTCGGGGACGTGGTCTCAAACTACCCACTCCAAGTTCCAGCCTGACACCGATCAATGATTTCAGACTGCCACGAAATGTGCAGTCACTGGAGAGAGGCAAATTGCAATCTATAATTTGAAATTATGAAACTGCTCAGGATGACAGACAAAGTTGTATAGATCGGCTTTTCTGACCTCAATCTAAAACAATGTTATGTAACACAGAAATATCGAGGTTAGTTCTCAGGTAAACTGAGTATCCATTTTTTTTGCGAGGAGAGTATTTCTAAAGTCTGTGGAATGATCTTGCCATGAATCTCAATAGCAAAACCCACTGATGGTTCTGTTAAATTATTTGTCGAATTATAATTTAAAGGCAAATTATTGCTAGTTTTTAATGAGAGATAAAATTTACGAATTTCCCAAAAGGAAAGAGACACAATAAAAATATCTTTGAAAGCCAAGCACTTGCTTGGCCGCAAGTGCTTGCTTTTCAAATTTATTTATTGTCTTATTTTATTTTAATAAGCATGTCAATAAAGTCACAATGATAAATCTTACCTTATTGAAGTTGCCTTTTTTTTTTTAAGATTTATTTTTATTTATACAAGCACTGGGTACAGTCAGAAGCGCGGGAGGGTGAGAGAATTCACCAGAGACAGAGCGGGGAGCAGAGCAGGCAGAAGGACCCAAGTACACTGCTGAGGGGAGCAGCGGGCGGCAGGAGAGGTCTGCGCGCCATGTGGGACCCTCCTCTGGTGGCCGGGGGAGCAGCCGGGGATTGAACCGGCGCAACAGAGGCTGCGGGCAGCTTCGCAACCCAGCGCTCAACCGCTGCGCCACTGGGGAGGCCGGAAGTTGCCTTTTTAAAAAGGTTAAGTTCCCTGGAAAACTTAAAAATAATGATTTTTAATACCGACGTCCTTTAGAACAAAATTGTGCACTTTTAAAAAATGAATTTGAAGTAATACTACATGGCAGCTGACAACACTTTTCAGAATTTATTTTGCCTTGTTTTGGTTTTGTTTGGCTTGTTTTTTTTTTTTAAATAATTAAGTAAAATTGCACGATAGCATTATATATAGTATTATGTAAGTTTCACCATTCATGTAGACTACATTAAGTTCACTGCTAAAAGGCTTATCTTTCCTTCACGACACAGTTGTCCCCTTTTTCCCAGTTAATCCTGGGGAGGGGAAGGAGCTTTTATTTTGGAATTTAATATTCTACAAATCATTCTTGGATATTAACACATAGTACAACTCTGAGTCTGTGGTAGTTGTTCTCTACCTACTTGCTAAATTGATTTCAAAGAATTTAACAGACATGCTTAAAAATTTTTAAGGAAAATATGAGATACTTCATTTTCAGTTAACTTTCCCAATCTAAAAAGATCATCGCAAACACCAGGATATAACAATTGTGCACATTTTAAGGTATGGAAACACGATCTCTATAATATCACTGATTTGTTTGTATTTAATGAATATATTCTGAAGTGTTCTAAAAGGCATTTTTTAAAAGGTAAATGTTGAATTTAGGACAATAAAGAAAGGAAACTCTGGACACTAACACCCCCCCACACACACACACACAACACTATCGAGTGTTCACTGCATGACAGCCACTATCCTAGTATCAGCAATAGATTACATTCTTAACTAGTATTTCTGCTAAAATTAGCCACCACCAACAATTTGATGTCATCTAATATCTAAAAGGGTATGAAATTTCAATTGTCCAGGAATGGAGAAGAAATCCATATGACTTATGACATTCCAACTATGATAAGAGACCTAGATATTGTTATTCTCTTATTATCTAGAGACTTTATAAGTCCATTCTGAAAGAAACTGTATTTTGGACAAATTGAGCACAAAAGGCTTAGAAAGAAAAGATTCTGCCATTTAATGTGTACAGAGAATGTAAATATTTGCTTTATTGATAATACTTATTAAGATTTTACCATGCAGGCCTCCCCTGTGGCGCAGCGGTTGAGCGCTGGGTTGCGAAGCTGCCCGCAGCCTTTGCAGCGCCGGTTCGATCCCCATCTGCTCCCCGGCCACCGGAGGAGGGTCCCGCACGGAGCGCAGACCTCTCCTGCTGCCCGCTGCTCCCCTCAGCAGTGTACTTCGGTCCTTCTGCCTGCTCTGCTCCCCGCTCTGGCTCTGGTGAATTCTCTCACCCTCCCGCGCTTCTGACTGTACCCAGTGCTTGTATAAATAAATAAATAAATCTTTAAAAAAAATAAAACTATTAAAAAAAAAAAGATTTTACCATGTGCCAGTCTTGTTCGAAATACTTTACATGTGTTATCATGTTTAATCATGATGACAAATCTACCCACAATAGCTTTATTTTCAATATAAAGAGCAAATTAATTTAAATGCATTGGTCAAATTCTTAAAGGGATAAAAATAACACAACTTATTATTCCAATTTCTCACAAAAAAAAAGTAGAGCTAAGTAGAGATTTCACTAGTGACACAGAATATTATTATGAAGGTTGTTGTTGTTTTTTAGAAAACATAAATGTCGAATTGCGAAAGGGAATATGGATTGTCAAAGAGCAAAAGGGATGTTATATTCCCAAATGTGAAGACAAAAAAGACGGGGTCCTCCACAACCCACTTCTTCAGCTGTAGGCTCTCCGTCCTTCACCGCAAAGCTTCTTAAAAGAATTAGCCATGGGGCCTCCCTGGTGGCGCAGGGGATTAAGCACCGCACTATGGAGCAATCCCCAGCCTCTACAGCACGGGTTCTATCCCCGGCCATCCAGGGGGCAGCCCACATGGCACAGCAGACCTCTCCTGACTCTCCCGCTGCTCCCCTCAGCAGTGTGCTCCAGTCCATCTGCCTGTTCTGTTCCCCACTCTGTCTCTGGTGAATCCTGTCACCCCCTGCATCTCTGGCCTGTACCCCAGCTCTTGTACACATATGTAAATAAATCTTTAAAAAAAAAAAAAAAGAATTAGCCACAATCTGCCTTTTCTGCCCAACACATTCCTATCTAGGTTTACACACTGCTCCCTGGAAACTATTTTAACCAAAGTCAGTTATGAACTCTTTGTCATTAAGGTCAATAAACTTTTCTGTTCTCAAACAACTTGACTCTGAGCAGCATTTGGCACTGTGATTGACTCCTTTCTTTTCAAAATTGTTTCCCTTGGAGCAACCCAAATGCCCAAAAATAGATGACAGGATCAAGAAGATGTGGTACATATACACCATGGAATATTACTCAGCATTCAAAAAAAGATAAACTCATGCCATTCACAGCATTATGGATGCTCAGTAAAATAAGCCAGAAGGAAAAAGAAAAGTATTGGATGGCTTCACTAATAACAGGAATATAGGGAAATCAAATAAGACATCAGTCTAAAAAAAAAATAACAGTACAAAACACAACAAAGCAAAAACAGACAATTATAAATCAGAGACATCCTGCAGGGCAGGGGAGGAGGAGGAAGAGGGATGAGAGGGATGAAGGGTGGAGAACAGGGGAATGTGGTGATGGTGCACGGGTGCCTTGGGGAAGGAAATTCTATGGGGAATTTCAACCTGAGGGGGTGGGGGAAAGCAAATATTGTTTAAAAATTTAAAAATATATATATATTGTTAAAAAAATAGAAAATATTTAACACATAAAATGCTACAGAAAATAAAACTTAAAAGAGAAAAAAAAAAATGTTTCCCTTGGCCTCCAGCACATTACTGTACCATGAAGGTATAACCTTGTGACATCCATAGAAAGCGGACGTTTTAGGTTCCCTGCCCTACCCAAGGAAGGATGGAGCTGAGATGCTAGGAAAGACAGGGAAAAGGAGTTGGTAAGGAAGGAAAGAGGACTAGGAGGAGACTGGAGGAGGCATGTGGAGCAGAGACATGGCAAAAGAAGCTGTGCTTGCTTCTCAGCCTTGGATTTGCAACAGGGACTTGTGAGACATGGAAGGAGACACTTGAAAGAGACAGAGACGTTGGTGAGAGACCTGTGAGGTCTCTCTGACAATGGCAGCCTTTATTTGACCTGTATTTTGATTTTTCTCTTTTCCTTCTGGACTTACCTGGCCTCTTCTGCCCCTTTCTTCTGGGTTCCCACCAGGAAGTCCCTTAGACCTCATGGCAAGCTGTCGGCCCTAGGTGGCCCTGCTTTGGTTCAACCCTGTTGGGCTGGACATTTACCCACTGGGGGCTGGGTCACTTTGGGTGTTTGATGAGGAAACTATTTTAACTACATTGTTTCTCTTCTCTTCAAACAATATTGACATTCTTTTCTATCAAGGTTTTAAGCACTAAGAGTATGTCTTTATGCACGGATGACAGAACCCCTTTAGGACAGGCATGTTTGGGTTCCCAGGGCGCTCCTCAGTCTGTCCACTAACAAGGGTAGTTGACTGACTGTCTGGCTGTTTGGCTGGTTTTCCATTAACTGTTCCTTCTTTGCTGACCCCTCTCCCTCTAACTGGCTTTAAATCTTTGTAGAGTCTCAGGGTTCTCTCCTAGGCCTTTTTCTCCTCTGCACCCTCTACTTAGAGACCTTATCTATAGACTCCCCTTTCTCTCTCCTGGGTATAAGCGGTCATCCCCACCCCCACTCCCACTGCTGCTAGTCTTTCTAAACTACTGTTCTGATTAGCCCTTCATTCCAAACACTGCCTTTGCTGTTTCTTTGCTTGGAGAACGTGGATAAAGTATCTGAAATTAACAAGCCACACCACAATCTGCTTCTGACTTACCATTACACACTATAATCAATTTTTTTTTTTAAGATTTATTTATACAAGAGCTGGGGTACAGTCAGAGGCGCGGGAGGGTGAGAGAATTCACCAGAGACAGAGTGGGGAGCAGAACAGGCAGACAGATGGAAGACACTGCTGAGGGGAGCAGCAGGCGAGGCAGGAGAGGTCGGCTTCACCATGTGG